CTACTTATATCAGGATATACATACCTTGTTGTCGGGGCACTACCATAGCCTCGTCAGTTCGTAATTCGCCCGTATTCAGATTTCGCTCAGTATCTCCACTTCTCCTCAGCTCACTTTCCTTGACCTTGACTGGCCCACGTTCTTCTAAGAACTCGGTCGAGGGCAAATCGTCAATTTCCTCCATGTAAAAATATCCTTGGAATTTTGATTTGTTTAACCTGGAGTTAGTATTAGAGATAAGGAGAGAGATTGTCATGTCCGAACATCAATTTTTGCTCCCACACTTACCCGTATACTGTGGCATTCTTCTTTTTAGTTTTGATTTTCGATGATAGTGGACCTGCGTTTTCTGAAAATGTTGGTAATCATTGAGACGATCTATATTGATTTACGTTTCCAAGATTGGCTACCTGTTGAAGGAGAGGAAGATCGATGGTGGGTGATGTCTTCTAGCGCAGGATGCGATTTGGCAACTTGATTTCGTCTGAATGATAATTAGGTAACTAGGAGCAGATTTTCACAGTTCTGAGTGCTTATGGACTTACCGGTTCAGACCGACTGTAGGGGATGGACTGGTGAGATCGTCATCATCGGACTGAAAATATGCTTAGATAATTGTCTATTTGACGCTGCTCGAATAGTTCGGAAATAATCATCAACGATCAAGCATTTGGATGAGATTCGTTTCGAAGCCGTGCACATTGTAAGCCGTACACCCTAATTTAATTGGCATGTTCACACCATTAAGTTTTTAGCTTTATAAATGAAAACACTGAAATTTTAGTCAGTCAATCAATAAAACGTGTAGACTGACTGGATGGCCAACAAACAAACATTCAGTTTTACCTATCCCACTATAATAAAGCGCTAAGGACGGCTGTTTCTCTGTGTCTGTTTGTGTGAAAATCTGTCCGCCACAAAATTCGCAGAAGAACTTCCAGCCAACGTATTGGACCTAATTTTTGCGTACTACGACCTTTTGCAAAGTTGTGAATACGATGGGGGATTAGATTTAAAGCTTTGACCATTAAGCATGAGCAAAAAGTATACTTTCATGCGGAATCGACTCCAAATGAATACTTGTTTAGATGATACTCTTTTTAGGGTTTTACTTAGATCTGGAGAATTCTTGCTTAGAGATCTACCTCACGGTGTCCATCGTCTTTATGAGGTCTACCATGTCTGATGAGTTCAGTAGCTGATTCTCTTTTTCTCAGTTACCGATCTGTCATGAACTAGGGTACGGAATGAAGTAATTGTGTGCAGTTCATTCGTGATGACCAGCAAGGCACGGTAGTTTCATACATCATCATGAGAGCATGAGAAAGTCACACAGATGATAGAATCAGTGAACCTCTGCGACACGGAGGTGACTCATTGTACAGATATAAAAGTGTACATGAGACACCCAAGCTGAATGTCTGTTTGTGTGTCTATCTGTCTGTACGTATGTTTCGAATCAAAAATTATTCGTGAACCGATGCGGACCAAACCTTGCACAAACAACTACGGGGCGGGACGGGTGTCGTAGGCTACTTTTCGTTATTGATCGATATCAATTTTATCGA